CCCTTCCTTCTTCTACTCCATTTAAGCCCTTTGGGACCTATCCAGATGTAGCTCCCATCAATAGCTTGTTTCTAGCTGGGTGTGGCAGTGCTTGCTTGCTGTCTTACCACTTTGGAGGCTGACACCAGCCTCGTCTACAAAGTGTGCACAGTGTCTAAAAATCAAGCACCCACGTATGTTAGGGCTGGCTGGAGAGATGGCTCAGTGGTTACAAGTGCTTGCTGCTCTTTCAGAGTACAGGAATTTAGGTTCTTATGGCTATAGAGATTTAAAACACCTGTAACTCTAGTTCCAGTGGGTCCAGTGCCCCCTTCTGGACTCTTCAGGCACTGCATGCACACAAACAAAATCTTAAATGATAATTTAAAAAGCATTATTGGGATGGAGAGATAGCACAGTGGTCAAGAGTACTGGCAGCTCTTCCAGAGGACCTGGCTGGGTTCAGTTCCCAGCACTACTGTCTATAACACCAGGTCCAGGCAAATCTGACACCGTCATCTGGCCTCTACAGCACCTGGCAGGCAGGAGGCACACAAATGCATGTAAGCAAACACCCACACACATAAGATTTAAAAAATTAAAGTATTACTATGAATTATGGATTAAAAATATTTAATGTGATTTTCTTGTTAGGGTCAACTCTTGGAAGATATATTGCTGTATGAACAGCTGGGCAAATTAAGACTTTGTGTGTGTGTCTGTATGTGTGTGTGTGTGTGTGTGCATGCGAGAGTGCACGTTGTGTGGAACACATGGCTGTGTGCATGTGTATGGATGCTTGCACATGTGGAAGTTGACGTGTCAGTGGTAGGCATCGTTTCAGTCAGTCTCTTCCTTATTTTTTTAAGGCAGGGTCTCACTGAATCTGGAGCTGCCCAGTTAGCTAGGCTGGCCCCAGCAGTCAATCTGCCGCCCCTCCTCCCCTCCCCTTACCTCCCCAGCACTGGGATTTCCATCAGTTCTTTCTGAACTCAGGTCTCCAGCTGGCATAGCAAGTTCAGTTCTGACTGATTCTACATGCCAGATGTAAAATGTTTATAGATTTCTTTTCTTACGTTTCCTAATTTATGTTCTTCCCAGCAATATATAGAAATATTTGTTCATCCACATTTTTGCTCAACACTACCTAGGCCTTTGCAGAGGTTTTGTTCTTTAATTTTACAAATTAAATGATACAATTAATTGCCTTTTTTCACATTTCTGATCTTTAGTTAGAATTGAAGATAAGTTAATCAGAATTAAAAATGATACACGTTATTGACTTAAAACATGTTGACAGAGCTGGGTGTGGAGGCACAAACCTATAATCCCAGCACTTGGACAGAGGCAGGATGGCCAGGAATTTAGGATTATTTTCAGCTGCATAGTTCATTACGGTCCAGCCTGGGCTACCTGAGTTTGGACAATTAAGACAATCCCCTGTTAATGACTGTTAATCATATTTATATTAGGGTATTGGTTTTTACTTACTTTTTTATTGTTATCCCTACTTTTTCTGTGTTCCTGCTTTCTGTTTGCTTGGAGCCTTCCCTATGATTATAAAAGTATATACCTATTTTTGTGGCACTTCTGTATGACTGTATTTTAAAGTTTCTTATTTTGTATAATGACTGTGGAGTAAGGAGCCAGAATTGCTTATGCCCTGCTGCTGGGCAGCTTTCTAAATGCAAATTTATTAATTAAAATTTCTTTCCCCAGGTCCATCTCCACATTACTAGGAAAGCACTCCAGTGAATCAATTGCAAATTCTTGGCACAAATTAAAAAGTACTCATTGAGAATGCAGGGGAGGGGGTGTAGCATGCTTGCCTAGCATATCAAAGCCCTGGATTCCATCCCCAGTTCTGCATAAACCTGGTGTGGTGGTGCACATCTGTAAATCCAACACTCAGGAAGTAGAGGCAGGAGGCTCAGGAGTTCAAGGCCATCCTCAGCTACAGAGTAAGATCCAGGCCAGTCATCGGCTACAATGAGATACTATCTCCTTCAAAACCGGGGAACAAACAAAAGACCAGAATGTCAGCAAAGCCAATAAGATGTAGGCTAGCATTGTAAACAACTCTCCTTTCTGCAGACTCAAGTACAGTCTCCTTCATGGTAGGCCAGGGGAAAGAAGTGAGGTTTAGGGTGGGGGGGGTAAGGGGGTAGGGGTTCAGGATTGGTGATAGAGACTAGCCGATTCCTCTCCTGTGGGCTAGAAGGCCACCAGGTTATGAAAACTAAGTGGTGTCAATCTGTTGGACACGATGCCTCAGAAATCCTAGACATACCTGTTGCTGTTTCCCTAATGTCTCGGCTTTGAGGGGCCAAGAGCAAGACCAGAGTTTCAGATCAATCAGCCCCTTCTATCCTATAGACAGAGTTCTCCTAAGTGATTAACTTGTAGACCTGAGCAGAAGCAGTTGAACTCAAAGGTCAGGGTCTTAAAGGGACAGATGCAGAACAAGGACAGAGATACCTGGCTTTACTCACCTGTAGAACACTTACACGGTTCTAAGGGTTCTAAGTGGAGACTTCTGTCAAAGGGGGCATCAGATCCCTGTAAAGGAACGTTGTTGACCATCGCCATGGTGACGGTCTGACTAGTCTAGCTGTCAGTTCATCCCAGGAGTCCTGCCTTCCCCATCCATCTCTACCTCCAGAGCACTGCATTACAGGTGCACCACCATGCCTGCCTGGCTTTACATGGGTACTGGGGATTTGAACTCATGTCTTCACCTTGCATGGTAGGTACTTTCACTGATCTGCCAACTGCAGCTTTAATACTGCTTTTTCTAACAGTCTTCCTTAAGACATGCTCCTTATTAAGTGTCTTTCTATGTTGAAAGTTTTGTCAATGTTTGTTGAACTATACTTCGGTAGATTTTAGGACTGTGTTTATCTGAGGAGAATTCTAAAGGAGTAAATAAGGAATGCTGAAATAACCAATATTGGAATTATCAAAGGATTTATTAGACTTATTAGCTATGAGACAAGGTTAGATGAACCCTTTATTTTATGGGAAAATCAATTTCAGCTTTTATGGAAGCTGTTTTAGTATAGCTAATATGCTCATTTTATTTATAAATTATTTGATGCATTCCATAGTAAACTCCCTGGTTTCTCATGCTTAATGTGCTGTATCTTTCCCCAAATTTAGGAAAATAGTTGGTCAGCTATTCAGAGAGACTTTCTAAGCCAAATTTATATGACTTATTTCTGTGTTATGGACTGTTTCAGACAAATTGAAAGGCATAAAAATAGCACACCCTCCATATACTTAATATCTTGCCTTAGGACATAGAGTGTTGCCAGTATTATTAAAACCCCTGCCATTGCCTAAGAAATAATGAGTTTTATTCATTTTTGTGTTTTTATTTTTCGAGACAGGGTTTCTCTGTGTAGCCTGGCTGTCCTGGAACTCACTCTGTAGACCAGGCTGGCCTCGAAGTCAGAAATCCGCCTGCCTCTGCTTCCCAAGTGCTGGGATTAAAGGCGTGCGCCACCACCGCCCAGCCGAGTTTTATTCATTTTAATGTATGTATGTATATAAGTGTGTGTGCATGTATGTATGTGTGTGTGCATGTATGTATGTAAGTGTGTGTGCATGTATGTATGTAAGTGTGTGTGCATGTATGTATGTAAGTGTGTGTGCATGTATGTATGTGTGTATATGTGTCCATGTGGAGGAGGCCTGAGTTGACCCTGGATGTCTTCCTCAGTTGCTCTCCCCTTCATTTATTGAGGCTGAACCCCCAAGTCTGGCTAGTCTTGCCAGTCAGATTGCTCTAGGAGTCCCTGGCTCCGACTCCCAAGTGTTGGGAGGGCAGGAGGTCACCATATGTGCCCAGCTTCTGTTGGATGTTGAGAATATGAATTCCGGTAGCAGCAGCGTCTTCATGCACTCTCTCCGTGTCTTGCCACAGGTATCTCCCACATGGCTGTGGAGGAAGCCACCATCACTGTTCGCCTCATCCGTTCATTTGAGCATCGGAATTTCAAACCCGTGGTATATCATGGAGTTAACTTGCATCAAACTGTAAAAGAATTTATAATATTTCTAAAGCAAGGTATGGGGAATTAGTGCTTCTTTCTTTCATTTGTGTTTTGACAATGAAAACATCTGACTACGATGTTTTTGTTTTGTTTTTTTTTTTTTTTGGTTTTTCGAGACAGGGTTTCTCTGTGTAGCCCTGGCTGTCCTGGAACTCTGTAGACCAGGCTAGCCTTGAACTCTCGAACTCAGAAATCCGCCTGCCTCTGCCTCCCAAGTGCTGGGATTAAAGGCGTGCGCCACCACTGCCCGGCCTGACTACGATGTTAATAATAATCTTTGAAAAGCACATTAGGCTGGGCCTAGTGGTGTACACCTACATTCCCAGCACTCAGGACACAGAGCCAGGATATTCATGACTTCAAGCTAGCTTGGGCTATTTAGCAAATTATAGGCCAGCCTAGGCTATATAGTGAATTTTATGCCAATCTGGGCACATGGAAATATTTTGTGTTTTAAAAATGAAACAAAACAAAATAAAACCAACTAAGAAAATCACCAAAACTCTTCCCCCCAGCCAGAAGCACTTTGGAAGCTGGTGCTAGCAGAGGCTAGGCTGGCCCATGTCCTGGGCTGGCCCTCGTCCTGAGTCCTGTCATCAGCTGCCCTAGTTTGTCAGTGAGTACAGTGAACACACACACTAGTGGTTTATTACCATCATGTTTAGCCTCAAGCAAACTAAGATCCAGGACAGGAGAGGTGACTGGCAAGTGCCTGCCCCACACATTCGTGAGGACACATGTTAGATCCCCCAGAACCCATGCAATACAGAAATGAAGGTATGTACCTTTAATCCCGCTGGGGGCTGTAGGGGGCTGGGGACAGGGTATCCGTGAGGCTCACTGTCTAGTCTGTCTGCTACATTGGGCACAGCTTGGGTCCCAGAACCCTGGTTAGGGGTAGCAAGAGAAAAGAATAGACACGAAGACACACAGACAATGAAGTTGGGATCAGGTGTGATTAACTGTTACCTCTGCTATCTGGAACTTCAGCATGTTAGCATGTTTATTAGGTACAGCATAGGAGGGGGTGTGGCTTCGCTAGGCTAGGCAGGCACTTTCTGTGGGCGAGCAGTCCCAGGCTCTAAGCTTCTGGGAAGAGGAAGGTGCAGTTGCTCATCTTTGCACACACTGATAGTCACCCACACCCCTACTCAGATGCCCAAGCTCTGCATCGCTCTTGAGCCTGACCCAAATGGGTAATGGCTTAGCCAGTTTAATGCAGGCCAATTGGTCTTATGGTCGTTAACGGGCCTTACTCATGTCAGAATCCACATTGCTCAGAATGTAGTGCACCTCAGGTTCCCTCTGCTCCTTACACCTGTCTGACAGGGTTGGTGAGCTCCAGGTTCAGAGAGAGACTGTCTTAAAAGTAAAGTGGAGAGAGAGAGATTGAGGAAGACATCCATCATTGATCTCTGGTCTCCTTACACATATACATACATAAACATGTACACACACACACAGAGAGAGAGAGAGAGAGAGAGAGAGAGAGAGAGAGAGAGAGAGAGAAAGTCAGATTGTGGCGGCAGGGAGACGAAGAAATCAGGAGAGCTCTGATCTCTGTGGTCTCTGTGATGGGACAGTCTTTACATTTTCCATATGTATTTGTTGTGTATGTGTGTGTGTACATGATATGTGTATATGTATACATGATATGTGTGTGTGTATATACGTGATGTGTGTGTGTGTAGTTGGTGCTTATGTCACAGTGTGCATGTGGAAATAAGAGAACAACTTGCAGGATCCAGTTCTCCCTAGAGATCCAATTCAGGTTGTCAGGCTTGACCACAGACCCTTTTACCAGCTGAGCATCTCCCTGGCCCAGGAATGCAAGTCTTCTGATGGTGCTAGTTTATCATCCTGAATGTACAGCCCTCATTCCGAGAGGGTCTTACTGCTCTTCATTACTGAAGCATCCCAAGGCGTCTGATACAGCATCCAGCATATGCTTTTATTCTTTTAAGTCAAGTACAATCATTATAGAGTACACTGCACAGTTTTAAATATATAATTTCATGAATTAGAAACTCAGTGATGCTATATCTATATTTTTACTGTTTATTTACTTATTTTTCCATTTTTGTACAGATGTGCATGCCTGTGTGTATGTGTGTGCATATGTGAACTCACTAAACGTGGCCCCTGTCTCTGCCTTCTGAGGTTGGAGTTAAAAGTAGCCTCCATGCCCACGCACTCAATGTCCACGCACTCAATTCTTCAGATTGAACTCTGGCAGTCATATTTATGTGGCAAGGATTTTAACCATGAAGTCATCTCTCCAACTGTGTGTGTGTGTGTGTGTGTGTGTGCAAGCTGTGTGTGTCATAATGATGAAGGTCATTGCCAGGGTTACTTTTCGGAGACTTGGAAGCCACTTTTGTTTGAAGCCTTCACCTTTCTCTTGGGCCTGTGTAGGTGTTTGTTGGGTGACTCAGACAAGGAGGCAGGTCTGGGATTTTCTGCACTCGTGTTGTCTATGACCCTTTGCTTCCCTAACTTTGGGTCAGATTGTGTGATGTGTCAGTCACTCATGTGTACTTGGGAGGTAGTAAATAGTGGCTTGCACGAAACTCACCCAACCTTTCTTTTCTCTTCAAAGCCAAAAGATGCGGAGGCGGGAGCGGCTAGGTGTCTTCCAGGTTTCAAGCAGGTGTGTCTAACCTGCAGCCTGAGGGCCACGTGTGCCCCAGGATGGTAGAAAAGGAGCTGAGTAAGTGGCTTGGTTGTTAAGAGTGCTTGTTGCTCTTTCGAGGACCTGAGTTTGATTCTTTTCCTCCACATTGGAACAGAGTAACTACAGTTCCAGGAGACGGAGGCTCTGTTTTGGCCTCTTTGGGTACTGCATCCATGTTGTGTATACACAGCCAAGGAGGAACACACATATACACGTAAACAATTTTTAAAACTTACTGAAATTATTATGATTTTTCTCTACTCTTTTTTAACTTGATTAGCTGTTCTTGAGCATGAACTCTGTAGATGACATATCTGTTGCAACGAAGACCATGTTATGATTACACGTGTACTGACCTCTGATTTTACAACCCGGTTCATTCCAATGGGGAAGGGGCATAGGTGTGCCCGGCCACCCTTGCCTCCCTTACACTGGGTTAAGGTCAGGCCAGGGAGATAGCTTAAGGTAAAAAGCCATCGACAGCAAGCCTGAGGACCCCTGTGTGATCTGACGATCTCCGTGGTGGGAGAAGGGAGCCAACTCCCACAGATTGTGCTCTGGCCACCAAAAGTGTGCTTTGGCACATATGTCTACACTGATAGACAATATGTAAATAGAATGTCATTTAAAATTTGTCTTTTTCATAGGCATTGACCTGCTATCTTCCTGGTTTTATGGGCAAATGGTTTTTTAAAAGATTTATTTATTTTACTTTGTAAGTGTCTGTCTGTATTTTTACCACATGCATGTAGTGCTAGTGCAGGCCAGAAGAGGGCATAAGAGTCTCTGGAATTGGTGTGATGGACAGTTGTGAGCTGCCGCTCAGGTCCTGGCAGCTGAAATTTGTTCCTCTGCAAGAGCATTGTGTGTTCTTAGCTGCCTCACCATCTCTGCAGCTGTGAGTAAATTGTTTCCCGGCTCCAACTACTGGTCCTTAATTCCAAGGGCTCTCTTTTATTTAAATAAGTGGGCTTGGTTTGGCAACAGGTTTCCTTTGCTTATTTGGTTACTTAAAGCATTCTAAATGCCATGATCACTCATAAAGTAACTTCTGGCTTACACACAGAATATAAAATTCTGTTGCCATATTCTGTTTGTTTGGTTTTTGTTTGTTTTTAGAGACAGGATTTCTCTGCGTAGCCCTGGCTGTTCTGGAACTCACTCTGTAGACCAGGCTGTCCTGAAACTCAGAGATCTGCCTGCCTCTGCTTCTCAAGTGCTGGGATTAAAGACGTACACCATCACTGACCGACTATATGTTGCTGTGTTCTTAATTATTAGGGGATTTTGATATTTAATACTAAAAGATAATGTTATAGAGGAGAAAAAGTAACTTTTCCTTACTCTTAAGTTCTTAAAAGTATCTGTATATGTATGATGTGCGTGCACACACACAGAGACACACGCACACGCACGCACACACATGTGTCTTAGAATACATATGGAGGTCAGAAGACAACCCCATGTCAATTTCATTTTGTGTGAGACAGTGTCTTGTGTTTCCTGCTCTGTAACTGTCCTGTGAGCTCCCAGTGATTTTCCTGTCTCTGCCTGTAGCTCTGGGATTACGGCCATGTGCAGCCATGGCAGGCTTTATATGGGCCCTGGGGATTCAGTCAAGTCTTCACATTTGCATGGCAAGGGAGAGCAAATGCTTTACCCAAGTCATCTCCGAGCTCCAGCCTTGTACGTTCTCAGATGAAAGGGCAGGTGAACAAGAGAAGACCACAGGGGTTTATTGCTAAGTGCACTCCATATATGTTGGATACCTAGGGAGTGAAAATTTCTCAGAGAAGCGCCCAGACAAGGAAGAGGTCTTCAGACCTGGACCATAAGGACTGGGTGCTTGTGAGCAGAGGGAGCAGAGAAGGCCTTGTTGCTGAAGCTTTGCAATGCGGCGCACTCTGATGCCCCCTGCAGGCTAATTGGGGGCACAGCAGTCTCCTAAGGTTGTTCTGTGCTCTTGGGGGGTGGGGGTGGGGGAGAGGCTGTGTTTTAGGCAGACAGGGAGGGTCCTGAGCATAAGACGTCAGCTTTTATCTCCGAACAGTTCACGTGCCAGGTAGACATATATTGGGGTGGCATGTTCTGGTCACCCCTGGTGCCGATTACAGAGTGGCCTGCTTTTGTAAAGTCATTCCTCAGTGTATTAGGAGTTTGAACTACAAACAGATTTCTACAGAAATATTTTTAAATTATTCTAATATTTTATAACATTTTATTTATTCTCTCTCTCTCTCTCTCTCTCTCTCTCTCTCTCTCTCTCTCTCTCTGTGTGTGTGTGTGCGCATGTAGGAAGGAAGTCAGTTCCTCCCTTCTTCCATGTGGGTCCTAGAGATT